CGTTTTTTTTTTGCCGTGGAACACCGTGCCTTGAACATTTTTTCGTTTTTTAGCCGAGTCGGGTCTGTGCCTCACACATTCGCACCCATCCCTATGTTTGTATTAACGTTTATATGTATGTACGACGAGGACAATACTTATGTGTTTCGTGTTTCGTATTTATGTATTTCCTTCAGCACTTATGTGCAGCTGTATATAGTGTATATGGATTTTATATATGTGTGTCCCCTTGCTAATTTTAAAATATATATCTTAATGCAAAAAAGAAAGAATTCAAAAAATATATACATTTCCGAATTTATATTCAGTTTTGTTTTCTGTGATATCATTCTCCCTTAATTGAAGGCAGCAAATTCAAACTGTTCGAACAGCCTAGACGCAGAAAGCACAGATGACGGAATAGTTGTGATTGTTTCTTACTTTTCTATCATGACGGGGATCGCATATCTTCTCCATCCACTGAAGATTGATCTTCTTCTACAAGCTGTTTTTATTACTCTGTTTCAATGTGCCCTACAGCAAGGGTACGGTCAAGCACGCCCTAAGCTTTGATCCAATACCAGATAACTCAATATATCACTCGGTTCTTTTTCGAGATCATTTCTTAAGCCATTTATATGTGTCTTTAAGTACTGGACAAACATTAATATATAATTTTGTCGTTTTTTTCAGAGTTACTACTCAAGGAGATCGTATTGGCAATTTGCTCTATATTTCTTTGCGCTTGCCGTATATTGCATAGGTAAGTAATTTATTTTTGATACAAAAACTATACAAACAAACGGAAAATTAAAGAAGCAAAATTTTTGTTCGAAACCTGAAAACTCTTCCAAACAGACTAACAAATAAGTGAACAACTTCTTTCCCTTTTTCCAGATGGTTCTTTCATTTTGCCAGAGAACGATTCACCCACAACTGCTCCGAAATTTCTATCTAGAGGTCACCTTTATAAAGTCATTGTGGGGGAAACAATAGAGCTGCCATGCAAAGTACAAAATCTTGGCTCTTTTGTGCTATTGTGGAGAAAGGGTTCATCCGTGCTTACCGCTGGGCATCTGAAAATATCCAGAGATCAACGCTTTAAAATTGTCGGCGACTACAACTTGCAGATCAATGGAGTTAAGACGCAGGATGCTGGGGACTATATATGCCAGCTTGGGGATCAGGAAAATCGTGATCAAGTCCATACAGTTGAAATTTTGGGTAGTACAATTATTCAGCATTGAATTATGTTTAAATTTACTTGACAATTTTATACCACTTTTAGTTCCACCAACTCTAAGGGCTCTGCCACATAATGGACAAGTGACTGCACGGAAGGGAAGCACTGTCACATTGGAGTGCAAAGCATCTGGTAATCCAGTGCCAACAATATTCTGGTTCAAAAAAGATGTATTTTCTGGACCCACTCATCTATCGGATAGTTCCACATTGATATTGGAGAATGTGGACAGACACCATGCCGGCACATATCAGTGCTCGGCAGATAATGGTGTCAAGGAGCGTGTTTCCATGGACATACAGCTGACGATATTATGTAAGAGAGGATTATATATATTCCAGGGGAAGTATAAATATTAACATTATTTTTACATATTTATTTTCCAGCTCCTCCTGAGATTACAGTTGAAAAATCCTGGGTTCATGCTGCCGAGGGATATGACGTGGAGCTGGTCTGCATTGTTCACGGTGATGTGAGCTCTGAGGTAAGTAATCCTAGAAATCGAGAGAATATTAGTTAAAATAACTGCTTTAATCATTTTGCAATGTCTAACCTGTGTTTGACTTTCTTTATTTACAGATGTTGTGGTACCAAAATTCATTTTTACTGGATCCCACTGATCGCCGTTCCATGTACCCACGCGATGATCGTTACAGCCTTATTATACGCAACTTTCAACCGACTGATTTCGGCAATTACAGCTGTGTGGCTGACAATGCACTGGGCAGAACTAAGAAATATATTGAAGTGTCCGGCCGACCGGGACCAGCTGATTTTATATCGCCAGCATTGAGCGGGTTTCTGGATCACTACAACCTCACTTGGGCAATCGAGTCTGTGCCGCCATTGGATGAGATAAAACTATTGTACCGGCGGCTTTTGGTAACAGTGAACAGTGAATTTAGTGGCTAAACAGTTAAAATATATTTTCGTACACATTTCAGATGAATGAAACGTATCAACATCCTGGCAAATGGCACGAGTACCACATCAAGCCAACGCCAATAAGGACAGACGGATCCCACTACTTGATGTCGTATGTAGTCAAAAACCTGGAACACAATGCCGTATATGAAGCGATTGTTCAAGCTAAGAACAAATATGGATGGAATGAGGTAGGTTTCACTTTTTAAGTACATTAAACAAAAGAGACTAAAATATTTGTATACTTATTATAGATCAGCGATATTCATCAATTTTATACGCGAAATCATGACCTTCTGCTCGACATCGATATGGAATATAAAATGGGAGTTTCAAGCAATAATAGAATAGTTCCAACTATCTGTGGCATTATTTTATGCATATTTGCGTTGGTATTCAATCCTATCATCAGTATTTAAAATATTGCGTTCAGTATTCATTTTGCAAAAATATAATTTAAAAGGTGCCTTACTAAAACTTTAGCAAATAATTGTTCATATTTATACGTATGTATATGTATGTGTTTGTACACTAAGAAGAACGTAACATGATTGAAATCTGAATATAATAATCTTAATCTTATGTTCTTTATAGAAAGTTCATCTCGAATAGGCTAAACTCTAAAAACTCTACGCAGAAAAAAACACAACCATTATTTTGTGGTGGAAGTCGTTCTTGCATTCCATTTTTTGTAGCAATAACGCCATAATGCTTCTATTAAATATAGTTATTTTAATAATTAATGCAAGAATGCAAATACATACATACATACATACAGATAGACATAAAAGAGACCCATGATTAAGGGGTGAACAGAATAGAAAACCCAACTCCAACTTGGATAGTTACAGAAAGTTTAGTCTACGATACCAATTGGCTCTACAGACAGACAGTTGGTCATGGCTGCATCGACTTCGATTAGAAATATGTGTACATATATCATCATTTATGTATATAATTTGTTCCATTATTGTTTCTTGAAAGAACATACATATGGGTAAGACATTTAGGGATCTCTCAGAACAAGAGAGATCTATGCCGCAAAGCTGTATAATTTTATAGTTTTGATTTTCTCAGACATATGATATCCCCAAAAATATCACATTATGTAATAAAAAAGTAGGCGATAATATGAATTAATGTAAATATTCAAAACCAAATGTCAAAAGTCTCTAAATATATTAACAACAAATATGTATATGCATAACTATATGTAAAGGAATACATATGTATGAAGTACATACATACATATATCTACAGATATATGTATATAATATTTAGGAATATTCATAAATACATACAAGATATTATCATACTTAGCCATAATGATTGAAACTTTTATACGATGCATATCGCCATACCTCCCAAAAGGTATTATATCTTATGGTATGCTTATTTGTAAGTTGTCGAAGGGCAACACAATTAAAACACCCCACACGTTAAAAAGCCATTGATTTCTATACCGAAAACCCCGAATCCAAAGCGAATGTAAATCTAAATAAATTATTTTGTTGACATTGTTTGAGTTCTCAGTAAGTCTTACGTAGACCCCAAATTTGTTTGGTACTCGTACTTTATATTATATTAATATGAATATGATCTATGCTTAAACCTTTAAGGGATAAATTCTCTAACTAACTTCGAAGTTTTTCAGAACTATCCAAAATGATTTGGTGCTCGAAATCTTATTCTTTCAAATTGTCTGTAATTATATACCACACTGTGAACTCAAACATTGTTAGTACAGCTCAATGTCTTGTATATGCGTGGTAATATGCGTCGTACGCGTGCATTGTAGCTATAATGATAACGAAAAATTAGACACCATTTAAATAGTCAATATGCTTATGCCAAATAATGTATTTACATAGATGTATCTATATCTATATAAAAGGAAATACAGTTTGGCAAATTAATTACACCGCCTAAAACTCACATATTTCGTTTGAACATTTAAATTGTTTCCGGATTTTCATCTACACATTAGGACTCACAATTATTTATGTAACTATGTGTATTTTTTATCAGGAGTCACCTATAATTTCTTAAATCATTAAAGCTAATAACTAAATTCTGAATTCAAGCAGTACACATTCATCAAGTAAAGTAAAGGCATTCCAAGATATTTTTTTAATCGATAGCTATACAACAATATTAGGTAAAACTTATATCTAAAGAAATAATTAAATATACATACACACACATACGAGCATAATCTAGTAATAAATATTATATTAATACAAATATAATATGGCAAACTGTATGATAGAAATCCCCCCTAATAGTGAACACCGAATAGTGAACTACGGATAACCTTATTATTAATAAACATATTTGTAACAAACAAACAAAAAGAAAAGAAACCCATAAAAATCACAGGAACACATAAATATGTATGTTTGTGTATCAAAATATGTGCGTATGTGTAATTAACATCATTGAAAAAAGATAAAGATAGATCATATTATGATATTTTAACTATAAGTGTTCGTAGCAATAAGAAATAGAAAATATCTCACTAGTGTCATAATTTAAATTTTAAAACCGAAACTTTACATAACATTAAGTGTGTAAGATTTACCTACTTATAATGAATGGCATTATACAAGCACAAATAAAATCTTTTACTAGTAGATTAACATAATATAGATTGAAAATTCTCGTTTTGCAGAAGGAATCATATTGGAAAGGTCACAAATGCAGGTTGAATGTAGATGAATGAATGTAGAATCCCCCAAGACCATTCTGCCCATAAATCATTACACATCTGTGGGATAGTATTTCTTTGGGTACGTAATTCCATTCCATAAAAACTTTCTCAACACCATTACACATTGAAAAACAAAACACACAATTTTTCAAGTTTATAGTTAGTCTATGCCGCCATCCGGGGAGGTGGGCGGCATAGAATGAGGATTTATTTGATTCATTGTGGTTGGTTTTATTGAGAGTAACTGAATAGCTTCTAGTAGACCATCCTGACTGCTTGACTGCAAAGGGCAGTTTCCATCTGAAATAATATGACAAAACATTAAAAGCGTGCAAATTGAAATACAAAGAATGTGTGTTACCTGAATTGTGGGAAGTGTATCGGTCAGAGCTAGACATTTTGTAAGAAGCAGTCTTTAAAGTATTCATTGGCATTATTCGCGTTTGGTTCCATGTCACTGTGTTGGTGTCAGACTTTGTGGCTTCCCACGGCATGGACCACCTTCGCATTTGACTTTCGGGATCTGTAGCGTTGCCATCTATAACTTCACCAGCAGCAGCCTCTGACCAACGGCGCTGACCATTCAAAGGAAACAGAGGAAAACTTAAAGATGATTTGACATTTCGATGGAATGGCGTCTTCATCGAAAGCAAGTGTCCCGGGTTTGGCAACGGACCGCGAGTGTGTTCGAAAATAGCCTGCATTGGATTTGGGTCGTGATATGTTAGGAGTGGCGATGGACAGCGCGGTTGTTCCACTGGAAAATAAACAAAAGAGATGTATATATATATAAAAGAGGATGGTAAATGTATTACAATACCTGATTCTGTTATTCCAATTGCAATGGGACGCTGATCGGTTAGCGAATTTCCTTTCGACGATTCCGATTTAACATTTGAGACGCACAAGTTTGGCGATGGCGTTTGCGATCGTTGATCGTATTGAGAGCTTTACAGAAAAAACAAGTATGCAGAGATAAACTAAGCCTCTATGAAAGGTATGAGAATAGTTTCTTACCGCTGCTTGATAACACTGCAGTCTTGTTCATGTGGAAACCCAACTGGGGATTGGCAGACGAAACAACAGGTTAGCGATGAAAACGCATCATAGCTAGCGGCACAGAACTGATGTTGAATATTGATTACGGATTGTGCATTTTCCAGAACGATAAGCTCATTATGTTCTCTGAGTCGCTTTTGTTCCAGCTCGGTATTAATGGCAGAAGTAGATTGATCCACGGACGGTATGGTAACAAAGTCCTGTAGTATGGCTAACATGTGAGTTTTGACAGTTCCTGTGGCCACTGTGGTTGCCCTATGGGAAGATTTACAAATAGCTCTTATCACACAGCATCTATTTATATATTTACCTTGCCAGATCATTCCATGAATTTGTTAAATAAGATGTAGTGTAGTTGTTAAACAGCGGCTTCTCATTCAATGACCACTGCTCCAAGACTGCAATGGAATGCGCCAACTTGGATCCAGATGTGCATAGACTATTTAGAGCACTCAAGTAATTTATCCAAGCGGCTGAGCACTCGCTCAAAGCTGTCTTGGCTGATATTGATGAATTGCTGCCGGTACTAGAAGTACTCGAGTGTCCGAAATTGCTGCACAACTCTTCCATGATTACAGTTACTTCCTGTAATAAGAACGCCATTTAATCGAAGTTTATGTAATTTGTGAAGTTTAGTTGCGTAGATGTGTGTAGATTCCTAATATAATTAGTACAATTTGCTCTGTTTACATTTTCATGTATTTAAATGTATACCAACAAGCATACATATGGATGTGTGTACACATATGGGAGCCAGAAACCTATGTTCATTTATTCACTTAGAGTATTTTCAGTACTTTAAGTTGGTGCAAGCAACAGAATATTAATTGTTTCACAAAAAAAAAGCTTATATCGCTTACCTTTATGCAGTTATTTTGCTTAACTTTTTGTTGAAAAACTTTGCCGGTGCGCACGGAAATGAGTGACCAAACTGTCCAAATTATTTCGATAGCTGCATCAGTGATACTCCCAAAAAAACAATAGAATCTTATATCTTATGGGGGGAATCAGATATTGCTTTTAATTTGCATAGCTTGGTAAAACGCATCTACAATTTGTTTAAATAGCGTGCCAATATTAATTCAATAATAGTGCCAACTGGTTCGATAAATCTTATGCGAAAGAAAATAGTTTTCAGGAGTACCACTAGTGTTTGGTATTTTATTTTGTTTCTGAATTCCATCACACTAAAAATCAACAGCTGGTTAGTACCATCTCTTTTGCAGCCCTGGGCTCTTTTGTTTATTTCGTCTTCACTTCTTATTTTAGCTTGTTTTGACTCTTTACTTAAATGAATGTGCATACTTTTATTTGTTTAATACATGCAATAAGCGCCTGGATTTTGTTTCAATGTATTCCTGCATGCACGACATCAGAGACAGACACTTTTAAAACCACTGTGGTGCCCAATGAGTTTATTGTTCAATATCATTTTAAATACTTTCCCACGGTCAGAGAAACCTATATACGAACTAAGCTGTTAAGTTCCAATGTATGTATCAAGGATCAAATGATGTGAAAACCTTTTAATTATATAAATTTGTTTACTTAAGCTATCAAATTGGAGAATCTTACCACGAAACAATTTGGCGAGTCAATTTCCAAGCGATTTTGATATATTAAGAGTTTTGGAAGAGAAACCAGCTTCTTTAGATCAAATTGTAAAGAAAGTCGCATCTCATCCATCAGTTAAGGCCGTCGTCCCACAGCGAAGTGTGCAACGAACCCTCGCATGGGCCCTTAATGGAACTCAAAGCCGCAATACTCTGGGAATAGTACGCAAAGAGGACAAGCGCTCAAGGCGAGTTTCTTCGGTACTGCATGCAAATGTACTCTGGAATCTGGGCATAACAGGAAAAGGTGTAAAAGTGGCTATTTTTGATACTGGTTTAACCAAGAATCACCCACATTTCCGGACTGTCAAGGAGCGCACAAATTGGACAAATGAAAAGTCGCTGGACGATAAAGTTAGCCATGGCACATTTGTCGCCGGGGTGATAGCATCATCTAAAGAATGCCTGGGGCTGGCCCCTGACGCTGAGTTGTACATCTTTAAAGTCTTTACAAACTCTCAGGTAAGACAAAATTGTTGATTAATCAATGAAGGAACTCAGCTAAAGCGTGTGTTATTTAGGTTTCCTATACCTCGTGGTTCTTGGATGCTTTTAACTATGCAATACATAGAAAAGTAAACATTCTCAACCTTAGCATAGGTGGGCCAGATTTCATGGACTCACCGTTCGTTGAGAAGGTTCTGGAATTGTCGGCCAATAATGTTATAATGGTATCGTCGGCTGGCAATGATGGCCCCCTTTATGGAACTCTGAACAATCCTGGCGATCAGAGCGATGTGATTGGTGTCGGCGGCATTCAGTTTGATGACAAAATTGCCAAGTTCAGCTCCCGCGGAATGACCACCTGGGAGCTTCCGCTCGGCTACGGAAGACTAGGGCTAGACATTGTCACCTATGGCAGCCAAGTGGAAGGCAGTGATGTGCGCACAGGCTGCAGACGCCTCTCGGGCACATCAGTTTCATCGCCAGTTGTTGCAGGAGTAGCCGCTCTACTTATAAGTGGCGCATTCCATAGAATGGAGCTGATAAACCCCGCATCATTGAAACAAGTAATAATAGAAGGCGCGGAGAAACTGCCGACCTATAACATGTTTGAGCAGGGCCAGGGCAAGCTTAGCCTCTTGAAGAGCATGCAAAGCCTGCTGTCGTATAGGCCGAAAATTAGTCTAGTTCCACCCTTACTTGATTATACCTCGAATTACATGTGGCCATACAGCTCTCAGCCGCTATACTTTGGCAGCTCCGTGGCCATTGTGAACGTGACAATACTCAATGGAATATCAGTGACCAGTCATGTTGTAGACACGCCCAAGTGGATACCAGATTTTGAGCATAATGGACACTTTCTCAAAATATCAACACGATATTCTCCCACACTCTGGCCATGGACTGGTTGGATGGCAGTTTATATAGGTAAGAAAATTGTATTCACATTTTCGTGTTATTAAAAAACATTTTTAATGTCGTTTCAGCTGTTAATAAAGATGGTGAGGGCTACGAAGGCGTTGCTAAAGGAAACATATCTCTAATAATTGAAAGTTTAAGGGACAAAAGCAACGAAACAATTTCGAGTGAAGTAATTTTTCCGCTTACCATAAAACTCACGCAAAAACCGCCCAGGAATAAACGAATTTTGTGGGACCAGTACCACAGCTTGAGGTATCCTCCCAGGTATATACCACGAGATGATTTAAAAGTAAAGTCCGATCCTCTTGACTGGCGAGCGGACCACATACACACAAATTTCAAAGAAATGTATACATATTTACGCAATGTTGGATACTACATTGATGTCTTGAGGGAGCCCTACACATGCTTCAATGCCTCAGATTATGGCACTTTATTGGTTGTAGATCCAGAGAAGGAATTCGATGACGCTGAGGTGCATATCTTAAAGGAACATGTTCATAGGGATGGACTGAGCGTGGTCATATTCGCTGATTGGTACAACACAACGGTGATGAAAAAAATAAAATTCTTCGACGAGAATACTAGACAATGGTGGATACCGGATACTGGTGGCGCCAATATCCCAGCTCTGAATGATCTGTTGCAACAGTTTGGCATCGCATTTGGTGACTTTGTTGGCGAGGGACACTTTAAACTTGGCGATCATTCAATGTATTATGCAAGTGGCACAACAATTGTTAAATTTCCAGCCAATCCAAATGATATTGTGGTGGGAGCCAGTCTAAATGATCAAGGACAATCGGTAAGATTATAGAGAATTATCAGAAGGATTGATATACATTTATTACTCCATCTTTTTCAGATTATTACGGGCACAAAATCTTCAAAAAAGGAACCCAAAAAGGTCGTACCGATTCTGGGTTTATTTCAAACAAATTCCAGTAATGAAGGAGACAATATGGGCGACACTATTTCGATCGATGACCCAAAACATAAAGGCAGATTCCTGCGGCCAAAATTGAGTAAGCGGAATCTGAGCTATTTGCAAAATGTGAATGTGCCACACGAAGGACGCATCGCTGTGTATGGGGACTCAAACTGCCTCGACTCTACGCATATCGAGAAGGCTTGCTACTGGCTTTTGATTACCTTCTTAGACTTTGCCATGAATGCACATAAATCCAGTTTGCTGCAGAATCTAAACCGCATGTCAGAGTTTAAGAAATTGGCTGACAAACCCCTACCTCTAAGGATATCCAGCAATAGTACTAAGCCAGAAGTTACTGATAGAAGTGCCCGACTGCTGCAATGTGAACAGCTTGACTGGATAAGCCCGACGTTAAGCAAAACTAATCATCATCTGGAAGAACAACACACTGTGGAATGGGTTGCAAGTGAACTTGAAGGAGCAGAGCAGCAAAATAATCAGATTAAACAAATACTGGATGCAGCGATTATGAAATCTTCACAAGATGCTGAATATTTCATGGGAAGCCAAGCAGAAATTAGTTTGGGAACGTCAATGATGTTCATTTTTGGTCTAAGCTGTTTTGTTATTGTATTATTTGTGCTATTTATGAAAAGACGATTTATTTTGTAAATAAATGATTGAACATGAGGAATAAACGAATATTTACTTGGGTGGCAATCGATCTGTGTCTGCGATCAACATCAATAATCGAAGAACATTCTTTCCTTTGATCCGGATATACATATATTAATTATTGATAAGCAAATAGTTTTAAAAACACATTTTATTCGTTCGCATCAGTTTTAAAATCTTTAAATTGTAAGTTAAGTTACTTAGAAAATTAAAAATGAGTGTACGTTTTTTTTTTGTTTAATCATTTCTACTTACAAATGAATTGTTTATTTGTTTAAAGATCATCTCGTTTGTAATAGTTTGTAAAGAGTCGATGCATTTGTCTAAGTTAAATAAATTAGATGTTTGTATATTATAGGGGGTGTTTGAATATTGTACATTCAAATTACAGATAAAGATATACAAAAATTAAATAATTTACACCTTAGCTAAATAAATTAATTTACAGGTATGTATACTATTATTTTATGGTTGACGTATCTAACGTACCGTACTATTGAAAGTATACTTAAAATACTATTTGCTTTTTGTTATCTGTGGCAATGTACACCTAGGCCTATCATTTCTTTTCGTTGTCCATTTTACTTTTGTCCAATGATGACGACACCATACCACCGCCATTCGATGGATATAACTTTTCTAAATAGTTTAATGATTCATTCAAAAATGTCTGCAAGAGCAAGAGAATTCAAGATTTAAGCACTAAAATTCTAAGATTTAGATTAGAGTTTGAAGCTCACCTGGAAAGCGTGGAGAACGGCCATTATTGCAGGAGAGCCAAAGCCGTGCGTAATCAGGGAGAAATGTGTCAAATGTCGCTGCATCGACGGCTCCAGCAAATGCTGTGATCTTGTGCCAAAATGAGTCGTTCGATCTTGGCTGAGAATCTGCATCAATTCTTTTGTAATCTGTGGAGGGGATTTTATAGAGAGTAAAGTACTGAACATAACACATTTATATTTATAGAATTACCTGCTGGGAGTGTAGGATTAGCTCTTTTCGTCTATACGAATCATTGGGCTCTGTTTGATGACGCACAATGTACTCGGCCAACTGCCTGGCCGGGAACTCTGTCTCGCAAACAAAGTGAAAATCCTTGGCCAAGTGTGTTGCCTCGCCCTCCACCAAAGATGTTAGCAGTGTGACATTCGCCGCTTTTCGCCTGCCCGCTGGCAGATTCAAGCCAATCTTCTCCAGCTTCTCCCTTAGCAAACGACCGCCGTTCTTGCTCTTGGCCCTGCAGGAGCACACACATATGGATAAAGAAACTTATTCATGGATACTTATAGGCATAAACAACATACCTTCTAAGAACTCCGCCCAGCAAGGAGGCGTTCAAGCACTCGGGTGGCGACAGTCTTCGCTGCACTTCCGCAATGGTGACCTTATATTTCGACGTGCTCGATAGGAGACTAAGGCGACCAGGAACTGCACAGAATACCTCACTGGGGGAACCCGAGCCAATGTTCCCTGCATCTTTGCCGCTTTTCATGCCTACAAAAAAACGCAACACGAAAAATTCAAACCTCAAAATTAGTTTAGACATTCGTGCATGCGACTGGAGGGGGAATATGTTCATGTTTGTGCGAGTTCATTGTAAAGGAAATATATTATTATTATTACTATTGTTGGCAATGGTAAAGTGTGAGGGCAGCGCAGGACGTAGGGATCATTTTACCCCTAATCCTGCCAATTAGAAGGGCAAGATTCTATTTCAAAACATCATTCGTTCTGGGGGTTGGACAGCCATTCATTGTTGTTTAGGTGTGTTCAAGGTTCCGCCTTGCTCACAGTATGATACTCGTACAGCTATGGCACTTACAAGCTCTAAAATGTAAGGCACTCACTCGTGCACGAGTACATAACTCGTTTACATACACACAGAAACTTTATTGTTTCCACTCGCATCAATGATTATGCACAGATGTATCTGGAGAATATGTTTTAACTTTTAACTTCAAGTCAATCACTCACAAAAATAAGTCTTTATAAATATGTCAACAAGTTCTGGATGTTGGTAATACTATTATAAAGAAAGAACTGTCTAAAATTTCAATTATAAACTTGGAGAAAAGTTGACCAAGAAACAGACGGACAAAGCCATTCAAAAGGTTTGTTAAATCTAAAAATAAATATTTTCTCAATCTTACTTTTAATAAGTGGAAGGTCTGACATGAAGGCTACGTTGTCATCTATGGCAGGTGCTTGTACATCATCGACAGCATTTTGCAGCGCCTGATGCAGGGCCAGGGACTCATGTTCATGGCCCAGCCGTGTGCCATGCGCTGCTCCTGCCGATATTGCACTGCTGTAGTCGCCTCTTCTGTCTGTGTACGGAAATCCATGAGCCAGCTGGGACTGTTAAAATATACATAATAAATTTAGAATATTTTAAACACTAAATGAAATAAAATAGCATATATTTATATAAATTAACGGAAGGATGTGGCACGCCCTCAACTGGTTTATCTCGATTTTCGGGGGCGGAACGACTATGAGGAAGGAAACTTCAATTGGCGGGGCATCGAAACTTTATGAGGTAAATTCGAGTACATCCGCTGCTATCAAAAATTACTACATTTTACATACATATTTATGTACATAAATATGCATCTGCATCTGCAGTACGCGTACAATGTTGCGTCGGTCTCTCGGCTAAGTAAATTTGTTGAAAACCGTGACCATAATTTACCAGATTACGATACATCGGGGTCTTTAATTTTGCCAAGGGGTTGAAGGAGCCTAGCCAATCCGAGTGCCTTGGGAATAATGCGAACCGGCTGGCACACATACTTGCATAAAATGTATGTATGTACGAGTACATCCTCGCTCGTACATGAGTACAGATGCGCACAAGTGCCTGGCGGAGGATACGCCTTTTTGGTATCCAAAAAATGATGCGTTTTACTGCATGGCACGGCAGAAGTTTCATCAACATTTTGAGTATCCGAGTCACCCTTCTGCGGGATAGGAATTTCCCATCGTTGTTTTGCAAGATGGTTTTTGTATATTCTCAAGAACATTTTTAGCATGTTTAAGCGGATAATTTTTTTAATGCACTCGAATGGAATTCGTTAGAAAATAACTTCAAACTTCTATGGCAGGGGGGCCGGACTGGAGCGGGAGTTGCCCGGCCTCTACCCTTGGAAATTCCCTTGGGTTTGCAAAGCCAAGAATGTAGCAAAGAATGCAAGAGGCAGGAAAAATTCTTAAATTTACGAAAGATTGAAGGCTTGTCTAGATTGAAGCCTTCTGCTTTATTTGCGAGTATTAATTTTGCTTCACTTACAACATGTCCCTGCAGCTCCGCCTCCCTGTGGGTTCTATGTATCCCGAGTTGATCCTGCGTCGACCTCAGGCCCGCCAACTGATTGTAGTGATGGAGCGGGGCATGGTGTAACGATGACAAGGGCTGACCATACGGATCCGTGCCCAGATATTCGAGGGCACCGTGATTCTGCAAGTACTCAGATATCTAAATAACTTTGGAAATACTTGATTGAGTTCGAGAGAGTTCGATAACTTACCTGTTGCTGCGGCGGGCTTTGCGTCGAGTGGTGGAACGGTGGCGGAAAGTACGGAGGCTGGAAATCAGACTGAAGTGATTGATGATGCATGGTAGCTGCTGACCCATGAGTACCACTGTGTCCACTATGACCCGTGGCCGGACCGCTTCGGCCCGTGTGTCCGCCGGAATGGGTCGTGTAAGCCGCACTGCTGCTGGACAATCCTAGACTCCCATGTCCACTAAGGCGCTCCTGATAACAAAAAATAAATAAAACAAGAGAGTTTGTTAATATTACGAGCAAGAAACGAGAGAAAAGCAACTGGTTCTTCGAAAAATAGTTAATTGGAATAGGAAATATTTGAATCGAAGTTTACTAATTAAACAGAATAATCTACAGACTGCTTTTTGGAAATGAAATAAAGGACACATGTCTTGATAGATTTATAGTTTCTTTGTTGTTCAAGCTATATAGAGATTTTGTAGATTTCGATCCTTTAATCATTGACAGATCACCGTTTACAAAATGTTTTTAGCAGTTTTTTGATGCTTCGATAGATAGGAATATCTACTATTTGAACTATTACGAGAGACAATCATTCAATGCGGATCATAAGTTAATTTTTGGAAAGTGCGGCACAGCAATATTCAAAATTCAACTCGGTGGATTGTAAATCTGGATGGATACAGCAGATGGAAATATCTCTGGCCACATAAGCCACATATTTTATGAAGAAATAATTCTTCGATTTGTACATTCGCCAGATATCAAGGTAATTGAGATGGTTAAACCTTTACTCTCTTTTATTTAAATGTAGAAATTTTTCATTGATCCTGCTAAATCCGCCGCTGTCGGTTATTATTATTAAATCGAGCATAAACAAAGTTTAAAGTACACAATGCCAAAGCATCATCACAATGGTTGTATCAGAACCTTTAGTACCGGCTAATATTTTACACACACAGCCATATAAATAATCACACAAAGTCTTTGGAGGGAAACTCTATCGATACTGTTACGCGGAAAGATCCAAAAACATGAATCGGCAGCAACAACTCGCAATGGAATCATTCAATGTCTATGTTCTTATGGCTGGCACTGAAGCTTTTGTGGGTTTATTGTTGTTGTAAGGTACGCTTGAGATGATGCCAAACCTTTTAAATAGATTCTGAAAATACCTGAACATGAACCGCAGGCATATCCACATACGCTAAAGTCATGTTATCATATTCAACTTCACAGAAACTTCAAATTCACGCATGGAAAACGATGATTAGGTCACACATTTTTGATTGATATTATTAAATGTATGCTTTTAAATTGAATTAGTTTAGAGCACAATATATTATAGGAACACATTCGAACGTGGAATAATCGACAGAGTAATCGACACGCGCTTTGGCCCGATCCGACGGCAAGAACAGAACTGAAACCGAAACAGAATAGAACCCTATGCCGTGAAAGACGAACGCGAAATGAAAACTAGTCTCTCGGCAGTGTGCCAAAAAGGCAGGCAAATATTTTATACGCAGAAAGACCCAACCAACGTACCACCGTCGACGTCAACTTCGTTTCGGTGGCGCTGATTCGTGGAGTCGTCACAAAAGGCAGCGATGGAAGCGCTTACAGTACGTTACGCTGTGCCATGGCCGTGGCCCTACCGTTAGAGTTGGTTTTTAAGGAATTGCCGCTAAGGTCTCTCTCACTCATTGTGATAATGTATTTGTACAGGATAAAGGGTGTAGGTCGGAAGCTAGCTGCTTAGTGAATGGCCTGAAGATATCGCCACAAAACATTCTACTTTGTCGCCCATCCCGTGTGCGGCCTTTGAATATACCGGATACGATGTCAATACAAGATGCAGCTGATAACACTGGCGCAACATTATGCGCATAAATGCGGTTATTGATTCTTAAAAATTTGACAAATGTTGCGCGGAATTTTACATAAATATATACAGAAAGTGGAAGGCAAGGTATGAGCAGGGTCCCGGGCATAGACTCCTAGTTGATTACATTCACCAAGCTACTTAATTCCTCATTGTGTCCGCAGGATTGCGGAAAAAAGAATGACAGTAATTTGACACAAAAGCTTTGAGTTTTCACAAAATTGAACATGTTTATTCAATTGCAAATGTGCAATCTACCTGTGTACAGATGTATGGATCGCATTGAAGTGGCCCAGGCATTGTGGTCCAAATAAGGCATTTCTTCTAGTGCAACCAAACAAGGCCGACCCTGGCTCATGGTTCATACTCGCCGTTTTCCTCAAATTCGCATCGTTTTAATTCACCAAGTCAAATTGATGGCGCATTCAATTACACAAAAACAATATTCATCTTGTTGGAAGTATGCGAAGCATGGAGATGGGTGTGCGCATTCCCCTTGTGGTGTGGAGAATGTTGCTGAAATAATTTCCATTCATCTGCAGACTCGTACAGACAGTTGCTCTTCCGCTTGTCCTGCAATTGCTTTCAACTATTTCTCAAATGATATTTGATAACAACCAACACAAAGGAAGATCCTTCGTTGCCGCGGGCCGGCACCAAACACGGGCACCTGCTGCAGACAGCCAATCTTCGTGCAGTAATTATTGACTTTTCATTGAGCCGACGGCACTTTATATGCACTTGAATGTTCAAAATGTATACAAAGTCATTCCCAGGCCAGTATTATTTGAAATCTTCGGTAAGAAGTGTCTTCGAAAATCCCTCAGCGGACGCTTCTCCACTTGATTGAATTTCTATAGAATTTAACTACTGCACTGCCCCATAGACTGCTCACTAAATCATTATTTTGTGTACGCTTTTTATGTACCAACATGTTGCTTATTTTGTATATGTGTAAATGACCCGCCAGTAATCTTGATCGTTGGGTTCACCGGGGTGCCAGGGCATAGACAGACCTTCTGGGCCGTGTCAGATCTTTTGGTTTCAGCTTCAGCCTAAGAACGTGGCAATTGCGAATTGGGCTCAGGTTTATTGTGGCTTAATAAATTTAAATAATTTTGATTGATTACTTTGGATTATCTTGTCATTTGCCAACATCAAATAGAATATCCAAAGACTACAGATAAACCGGTTGGTTGGTTGCTTGGTTTGCCTTTTGTTTTGCCTGAATATTCGACTCTCGGGGCTTTCGGCTTTCGACTTTCGGCGTTGGGCTAGGTTTCCAAGACCTCTTTCCAAGAGATTTCTAGCAAAACACTCTGCAATAATCGTGCTTGAGTCTAATTATAAGAAAAATCCCAAGTGAATACATGCGAGTGTATGATCATCGACACTCTCGGCTAATGTTTTCCAATAACTGTTTGGCGATCAAGTAGAAGAGTTCTTAGGTATTAGAATATCTGCGGAGGGGGGTCAAAGTTTGCATAGATGTCATGTCTGGTTTGTATTCTTCTAAATTGAATTTAATTTTTGGTAGCCGCGCAGATACGCGCATGGCTCATCCATCTGGCTGGGTCCGCGTCCCGCTTATGCTTCTCGACGGTTGCCGTCACTCAATACCGTCAAAGTGGCGACTCTTCAGATCAGTCTCTTGTCTTGGCCCGGCAGTCTCCACGAGTATCGGAGTAACTGGATGCGTGGCTTTTTGGGCAATGCTTTTGACCCTTTGCCGGCGAATGTGAGCGAGGAGTGTGGAGTGAGGAGTGAGGCGCGAGCTGGGGCGAGTTTACCTTTTTGCTGTTATTATTATTTATTTATTTATTTATATTCAGCTCGTTCTCTATTATTAATTGTTCGATTGGAAACTCTTAGTTTTCAATCACATGAAACTCAGAATTATACTCCATTGTTTGCCATTGCCGACATGAATATGCTGAATTTTACAGACTTACCGTGGTCAATACTCCCATGGCGTAATTCAAGATAAAGATAAATAAATTATAAAGGTTCGAATGGTCGAATGTTAGCGCTGGTTGACTATCTGGTTTTGTCTTTTTTTCTGAAGCCACAGGTAGACAGTTGGAAGCTGTTGAGCAGGTCGAAATAGTTTCACCTCGAGTGTGTTCAGAACGGCAATCATACCTCTGGGATACCATACACCATACAACATACCCCAAAAAGCCCATACACAAGAGAGTACATAGATGTACATATGTATGTATGTACATAAATGCGCACTTCACTTGGTATTCTAATGAAATGTTATCCACTTGCGAATGATCAATTGCCATTAAAAGAGTTTTGACTCCGAAATCAGGGTTCTCTTTTCGCAGCCAACCTATTACAGTTCCTAGTCCAATGTGATCCAAGCTTATACCCTATATCAGAGGGTATTTGCCCATGGAGCAGAGTCTTGAAACACGCAGTAGAAGTTGGATGCTGCTATATTACAAATAAATAACAATTTTAGGTATGCTAATTCTATTTCTAGGTATACGTATGTACATATGTTCCATTTAAAGATCTCAAATGAGGAAAATTTTACTCTCTAGCAGCTGTTTGATCCTAATGGAAACTAAAAACCTTTCGATATTCTACAGAATAAGCAGTTTGAGTATTTTGAATTACCATCTAAACCATTCCAGACATTATCTTTCTATGGCATAGATTTGATGACTGGACAATCGATTTCTGTATGAGAATAAAGTGACAAACATTTTTAGTTTTATCTTTTTGATATTTTTTTTGATAAGCTGGTGGATAGGATATGTCGCCATGTCTAGATCGACTCACTTGCTTTTAAAGTTCATGTTATGTTCATTGAAGTAATTTATTAAATGTTATTCCAAATGTGACAACGTACAATTTCACCTAAGCTCTGCACAGCTTTCAGGGCTTAAAGATAGAAAGGGTGAGGAATGCTGAGTGAATTTAAACAGTCGTAAGGTAGACTTTGTATAAAGTAAAACTTATCAAAAAACTTGTACCAATCGGAACACTTTAATATAACTATATCCATGAACCACAGCCACTCCATGTCCTACCTTGGCAGCTTCATGCACAATTTTATGTTTTATTTCTCTCCTAAAATGAATGACTGTCTGGTCTGGAGGTAGCAGGTTTGCAGCAGCCACAACGTAGATTTTGTATAGAGAAATTAAGCATTTTTTCCACAGCAAAAGGGAAGTTACACAAAACCGGCCAAATTGATTTAAATTTGATTTACAACATGTAGAAAGCCCAACAACTCCGTTTTTGGCGCCCTCTAACGGTTATTCTGTCAGATGGGAACAACAGGGGGCGTTACAAGTCCACCACTGTGTAGTTGTCATGTAATAGAATTGAATTCAATTGTTTTAGAATTTGTGTATAAATATTTTAATCAAACTACACCAAGTAAAGTTCTTCAATCTTTAATTTATAAATTGCGCTGTAAAACGCTGTTGAAGTACAGACTTTACATCAATAAATCAGTTAATCTACATCAATCTCAATCAATCGTTGACTTTCATATTCAGTTTCTCAGCTGTAGACAATCAAATTTTAATATCAAAGTTAAGCGCAGTTGGTAAGCACTTTATCCATGCATCATAAAGAACTGCAAATAATTTTGAGATTTCTATGTACAACAAATATGCAATTTAATTCGAAATGCTGTTTGCCCGTTTGCAACGTTCTGTGACGGGTGAATCACGATTCAAAAATGGCGGCCATAGAAACGATCCAACAATTAGCTCGACACCATTCCGGAGCTACTCGGAGCTTCGAAGTTTATTTTCTTAATTCAAGCAAACATTTAATATTGTCACAAGGCATTTACATATTGCCAGCTCGTTTATAGAGTTAATAGTTGCCGAAATGCTGCACAGCAGGCTTTAAGTCAAAATGATGATGATGACCCTTGAAAGTGATCAGGAAAAAAAAAGACGAGCAGAATAATGAATCCCTTAACTTTGTTGCGGCTTCAAATAATAATTTAATTAGCACGTGGCTACCATAAGAACGGGAGCAGGGCACGTTCGAATTCTTAGCCGATGACGTAATGATTCTGAATACACTTATACGGTAGCAGGAGCCAGAAGGAATTGATGTCGATCCCAACTGCTGCTATTACTGAAATTGCGGCACCAAATCATCATTCCTCCTCGACGAAGATATGATACGAAAAAATACTACTAAGGTGAGCGCGTTTTTCGCATTCTTTTCGCGCTACCTGTGGGCAGGGACTGGGACTGGGACTGGGACTGTGCCTGAACCAGAGCAGACTTGAACACCGTCAATTATAAGACGACATATAAAACGAGTATGCCCTAATATTTAGCCAGGCTCCTTGGCTTCCATGGCATGGTCACGACTTTTTAATTACGCTGTCAAGTTAAATGGCGATGGAATTGTGGGGGGCTTGGCTTTTGGCTGCCACGAAAACGTTGCACTTGGAGTCACAGAAGGATACACATGCGGATATGCGGGCCGCGCTGCTTGTTAGAACAAGAAATGCTAATATTGTGATAATATTTATGTCATTAATCATAACAAGAGTCAATTTATGGCCAGTGAAGAGAAACAGTAAACATTTACACAAATTCTGTGCTGAGTTCCATGCTGCACGCTGGACTCTTAAAATTTGTACATTTCCATTTCCATTTATATTACATATGCAGCTCCATGTCCGGTGCTGCTGCTTTTGGTTATTCGAACTGCAAGTCTGTCGGATTTGGATCTGTCGGCAGGGGCCAAGTGCGTTTTTTGGGCTATAAATTAAACGAATTTAAGAGGAAGCTTCCAAACACTAAATATAATAATATTCACAACAATGGAAATGTGCAACGAACGATAATCGATTTTTGCGTATTGCGATTCCATTCCGCTCAGATTCTTGGCTGAGGCTTGAGCACGCGCTCCACCAAAGCTCGCTCCATGACGAAGCAGGGCCACTGGCCTTAATGAAGTAGTAAAACTCATTCATAAATGTATTAAACCTGCTGGGTATTTGCGCTGCTTTGCAGGAACAAAATCGAGCCACAGTCGCGCAGGACTGGGTCGGACAGATCCGATGTTCTAGCGTACAAATGACGAATAGAAGAATGAGCCAAAGAGTCACTACAGCCAGCAAGCCAAACCTACAGGTAGACCTTAGCTTCGTTTGCAATCTGTGGAGAGACCAAGTCCCAAAGACCGGCTTGAACGTCAGCAAGGCAAAGCCCCAGCCAACTGCAGTCCATTTGCTGCCCTTGCTGGACTCTTCCTTTTACTTCATGTCGGTACCTTATGCCACGGCCAGGGCCAATATTGCTAAGGAACCCAGCCAACCCAGTCCAGCCCAGCCCAGACCAGCGCAGAGAGCAATGTTGGCTTGCTTCCTTCCTTTGCCACGAGCCTAACACACGCCGTTCTGTTCACGTTCACGTTCACGTTCCGACACTTGATTTCGTTTGGTGGAGCTCTTTGGTGGAGTGCTTTGGTGGAGTGCTTTAGTGGAGGTGGAGGTGGAGAGAAGAGATCGTTGTGGGCACGTTGTGTTATGAACATTTACATATATCTTGCCAATCAATTTAGTTTTGTTGGACTTTTTAATTTCCTCTTTGCAAATGAAATCAATTTTGATGCGTATGGAACGGAAATGTTTTTAGAGTGGATTTATAAGAATCTACACTCTGCTTTATCATTGCAAAAAAAAAAAGGAAAGGAGTTAACGCAAATGCATATGCATATTCATTTGTTTCTGTGTCTGTTTATTGCACCTTCACCGCAATTCTGAATATGTTTTGTTTAAAATTGTTAGCGCATTTCCGCTTCACGGTGAACTTTCAAGTGAGCCGACTTATATAAGACACAACTCGGTAGGGAAAGGGATTAAATATTGGAATCGTTTTGGTTTATGCAAAACGAGGTAATCTTATATATTCCTAGTCGGACGAGAATTAGCTGTGTAACTCCTAGAGCTAGAACTACAATATGGAATCATACTACCCATACTACCATACAGGAAGTTTATAGAACTGAATACACATAGTTGGCCTTATGATAAAATAGAAGCTCATAGCCATTACATGTGCTAATTCTCAAAAGTTGACTTCAATATTTAATGCATCTTTCGCGAGTCTAAATTGCATTCTATACGGCCATTGGTGTTTAGATAAATTGTCAATTTACTTTGCTTCCAAATGTTTCCCCCACAACCTCTAAATGTGTTTGTATTCCCTCTTTATTCCCTCAAGACACGCTTAAAAACGACACCCCGCATCGTAAACTGTATGAACTCTGTCAAAAGAGTTCAAACCTCAAACGATTGACTGTTTCAAAACTGACACAAAGCCATGCAAGAACCTGAGTAGCGGGAGTACATTTTATTCATATTTGTGTGGGCTGCATGCTGCAAACGTGAATAATTATTATAAATTGTATAAAGAAATTATTCAATAAATCAGAGCGGTGCCGATAAATCTTCAACATAAACTAAAGATCGAGCAGTTTATTCAAAAAAAAATGCTCAAAGCCTAAATCTTTTTTATTGATATTTTAAAAACCGTGATGGGAACATTTTTGAAACGCATATCAGAGCGTTGCGCTATATGGCATTATTTCTCAGCCGGGCATCTCGCACGCAAATTGACGATGTGTTGCGGTCCGATCTCATAAATTATTTTGGCAACGCATCACGCGAGTGTCCCAGTCAGATTTTACCTGATTTAGGCAACCATGCAGGACGGGGCCAAAGCTAATGCCAACATACTCGGCATGCCCATTTGAGGGCGAGCATCGAGCATCGAGCATCGAGCATGGTGATTTTTGTGGGCGATGACTTTTGCGTTCCAACCTCTTGGCTGTGTTTTTGTTTTGTTTTGATCTCTGGCCCTTGCCCCGCAAATTGCCCTATTTTTTATCGGGCATCAAAAAAGTTCTTGGAAGACAGATGCACCATATAATTTGGCTAATTAAATGGGGGAGCATGTACCCACGCATTTCCAGCATTTGCCAAAAGAGGCGGGCGTCTGTTCTGGAGCAGTATTATTTTTTGTTCCTTCTTAGATTTACACACTGCCCATTGCCGTCGGTGTGGCATAAGTCGGGAGCCAGCTAAGTCCGAGTGGGAAAAAGTCTTTTTATACACGGAATAATCGTACTCTGCGAGTGCAGGGGCTGGGTTGCCTTCTTTGCTCGTATTTTTTCCTCCACGACCCCTAAAGTATACATTTAAATTTTCGACCTATTTCATGGGAGGCATCCCCCGTCTGTCTTTGCATATTAAGAAAACTGGTAAGGGCACTGTGGGAACCAGATTTTAGGGAATATGTAAAGTATACGATACATTTTGCTCTGCATGTGTACAAATAGTAAGAAAAGTTTTATTCCTCTAACAATTTATAGAAATTTGCATAAGGAAGGAAATTGTAATGAAAATATAGGCTAAATCTCTATGTATCATATTCCTCTAGGAAATTTCCTCACTTTGATTGCAATAATCTTGTCTAAATACAGAAAATACAAGTACTAAAAGCAAATAAAAGTCAATCTCCCATTCCGATCTCTCCTATTTATTCGAAGATTTATTTACTCAATGACGGAGCTTTTTCTAAGCCACAAAAGTGAGCGGCGGTGAGTCGAAAGCTTTCAAGAGTTATTCGGAAATCTTTGGGACCAGGATTTCGGCTTGGAGCCGAATGTATCAAAAGTCCCTTAACCTCCGAGTAAGATAGTAAAATGTGGCATACAGATTAAACGTATTCTCTACTATAAATTGGTCATTATCTTAGCTGCTTTTGCTGCTAGAATGTTTCGAGTCAAGTCAAGAATGGTAATCAGCCTGCGAATATGGCAATCAGAGTTCAGAGTGTGTGTGTGTGTGTTGGGTGTAATTGGGCAAAGTGCTTGCGTGCCTGAAAGTGCCCAAGGAAATTTGAGTGTCAATCAACAGGCGCAGGCCCCGATGGCTTCGATGGTTCAATATCTGATTTTGAGTAGCCTTTGCGCTGCCTCGGACACAACGTTAATTTGATGGATTTCGGATGATGGATAATTTCCATAGAGCACTTTTGCAGTCCACCGTGAAATTAGCTTGAGCGAGGACCTTAGCATATCAAAAGGCCGCAAAACAAATTAAAGACGTTCGACGGTCCTGGCTGATGTCTGTTATTATTATGTGGCATAGGAATGCTCGGAATGCTTCGACTGATGAACTTTTCCGTCCATTCTTTGATTGATAACTTGCATAAACAATTGTGGGTAAAAGTACTCCATTCGTTTGCTTACCATCATAAACTTTTGATCCTCGAATTGATGTTCGTTTGTGCGATGTAAAATATGCATTTTAATTTAATTTAAAAGTAGTAGAGTGCTTTGATTTAAATAGAATGCATATGCGTAGATTTGTGGTTCCTTTTTTGTGGTTTTTGTTTTTGTGTTTGTTTTTGTTTTGTTCTGTTACTGCTGACAGGTACAATCACTAAGTAATTTTATTTAAAATTGATTTTTGGCACTGGGTAAGGCAACTGCGAGTCTTTACGAGTAGATATCGTAGTCGTATCTTTAAAGTTTCTATTTGCTTATCGTGTGTACACTCGTGTATCCATTTCCGTTATGTACAATCGATCCACTGTACTGCTGGCGTGGCGTGGTGTGGCGTCCGTCGGGTTAAATCGTTGGCAATCCAAAGGTTTCCATAAAAGTAGATGGATGGTTACACCGCGATCGGAAACGGAATCGAAATCGAAATCGTATCGAATCGTATCGAATCGAACTGCACACTGCACACAATATTCAGTGGAAAAGGAAAAAACCCGCAAACAAAATTCTACCTTTGCACAGCCACAGACGGTAATTTTTCGACTGATGTTGGATTTTCAGGTTGGACCCAAAAACCTTCGGGGGATGTACTACAAGCGATGCTGAATGCTGCCGCTGCTGCTGCTGCTGCTGTTGCTGCTGGTTGTTGCCCCATCCCCCAGCCATCAACCCCCATATACGTATATCTATATACTGATGCATGTATGGGCTTATTTACAAACACATAGGAAAAACGCCCAAAGCCTAAGCCCGTTCGCTGGCTTGATGAATCTCTGTGTCATGGTATGGGTGGTAGGTAGCCACAAACTCACACATACACAAGGAGCAGGTTCTACGCTCACACTCTCTCTCTCTCTCTCGCGTCCAACGGCAAAGAGAATGATGCTGCTGAGAGCGGGCGAACACCACGTTACAGCAGCAGCAACCGAAATGAAGAGCGCAAGAGAGAGGCGAAGCAAAACCTGTAAAGAGCGCATAGTTGGCCACACACGTACACGTACTACCAATACCACTTGAGCTACTGGCCGCGTGGCCGTGTGCCGTGTGCCGTGTATCTGGTAGTGCATGTGGCATATAGTGAGGCGAGAGCAGCGCTACAGCCATTTATATTTCGGAAGCCCCGCCCCGTAAGCGGACTACTAGACAATGGGCCGAACCCAGAGGCTGCGGACTGCAGCTTCTGCACACACAGATACGGGTGGCGAGGCATACAGCTTCACAGCAGATACAGATACGGCCAAAACGAAGATACATATGTGTGTGGCTGTGTGTGTGGCTGCATATAGGGGTTGGAAAATAATGCGGAAAGCTGGGGTTGGCAACGGCAACGAGCTCTGTGTGTGCCCTTAGGGTTGTAACTTTTGCTACTGGGAAGGAAAAACCCAGGCATTGGGCATTGATGTTGCGCGCTCGGACGCCTGAAATATTGCCAGTGGTACGTGCCCCATTGCCTTCGCTTCGGGTACTTTATGCTCTCCAGCATTTTTCCCCCCTCTCTCCACTCAAAACACATACTAAGTACATGCATACAGTACATATTTACATATGCGAGTGCGAAGGCTTTAATACATAAGGACATGCATATGCCAAAGATATGGCTTTGTGCATATACTCTGTACATTTACACTGATAACATTTTCTTTTAACATGAACAGTTTTATTTTGTTTAAACTATGCTCATATTCAAATATTGTTAATACATGGCAGGTACAGTTGTTGACAAGTAATTGCCATCAAAGGCAGCAATGCAATCCCATCCACAGGCAAATCAAAACAAACTAAAAGAAAAGCAACTCAAAAACAACAGTCGAGGATCATAAATGGTGGACAAAAATGTAATTCAATATTTTAATTTAGTCAGCAAGTGGTATGGGATAATCTATCCACCAATGTGTAACTTTGAGCTATAGTTTAATACCATCATTCCTCAATCAATGTCAATTTTGCTTGATTATTTTTCAAGAAAATCCTCAACATTTAAAGGAATGCGAATAGGAATATCGATTTAATGCAGCTCCAACATAAAAAGAAATTTTCATTGCAGCGAAACCCTTATCCACTTTTTCTCAAATGTTCACTACTCTGGCCACATTTCTTGTTAACTTACACATTGGTTTGCATACGTCTATAACGATCCCACTATCTCGATTATCAAGTTCATTTTGTTATCCTGGCAAACCTAATCTACGAAAGAGTAGAAAATCTCTAAAAATCTTTCATTTGTGCCTTGCAAACACGCTCCATTATTAATCCGCTTACAATCAAAAGAAAAGGCATTAAAGTAAACCCACTAGCAACGTGATTTGTCTTTGAATTTCTGGCTAATATTTATAAATTAAATAAAAATAAAAACAAAAATCTACACCGAGTTGTAGCCTCAAATATAAGTAGTTCCTACTTTCTATTCCCCGCTGCCTTGTTGACATTCCTTTATTCAGTTGACACAATTAGCTCCTAGATTTAACGCGAAAAGGATTAGTCAGCAGAGTGAATTGAATCAGTTAGGTTTGTTGGGCTAAGACGTTTAATTTAAAGATTTGTCTGGCTCAAATTGAATTATGACAGTAGACAATCTTTTATTTATTTCAAACGGATTAAATTAATTCAGCCGCTTACTAAATTTAGTTGCCATGAAAGCAGGACATAGTTCTGTCAAAAGGGAAACTATATTTCCGGCGGCACTAAGTTGGCAATCAAAAATATGAAAGCCAGATCGTGCAGCCATGTACATATGCATTTATCTCATATTAGTTACTTGGCTTACCTTACCAAAAGCAGACACACACAGAGCTGAGAGCAGAGCGCTGTAAATCTTTCCAAATGGTAGCTGACTGATCAGGTGTACGACGAGGGTGCCCAGTATTAAGTTGAGTATTATACAATTGCGAGTGTAGAGAGCCACCCTCCCACTTCGACGATTTTCATGGCAGCGGCACGATTTTTAATTGTGGCCACGACAAGAGATCGATCGATCGATGATCAGGTCGCCATTTTCAGTTCCGATTCGACCAGTCGGCACTGATGCAGTGCTCGCATTACCAATTAATTCCCATTCCTCCCCGCAGCATTGCCATAAATCGTGATGCACAGTACAGTGGTCAATGTTTATGGTAAATGCATGGCGAGTACACGAGTTTGTTTTTTTGTTGCAAATCTCTGTATGTACTCTGCCACCACACCTACACTCCGATGATGTGAGTCGTAATCGCCGGCATACACGCATACTTAGCACTTGTGGGGAGTCGATTACGAGTATGTGCAATATTACAGGCCGTAATTTTGGTTCGAAAATGGCAGCTTTCTTCGGTTTGGATCGGATTCAGATGCCCTGGATGCCTGGATGCCTGACTGCACCAGTGTGCCTCCTTCTTGCTGCTGTCTTCAACTCTCCAGAGAGCCGGAGCACCTCATTTAAGATGCGTCTTAAATGCGATTGCCCCGGGAGAAACTCGTGAATGCCGCAGGACTTGCATGACTACTGCCTTGACTGCCTCTCTCATGGTAGTGATTGCCAATCTGTGGCTCTCTGCAGATCTCCTTTATCTGCTGGTGCTGCTGGGTCCCTCTGGTCCGTTTTTCTGTTTTCTGTTTTCTGTTTTTTTTTTTTTTGGCGGCCGGAGACAAGTGCATTCTAAATGCAAATAACTGCATAGCCATAAAGTTTGCCCAAAAATAAATATATTACTTTTAAAACCTTTAAACCCACCCATTAATGTCAGTTGTCCGATTCCTGCCACACCATTTTGGAGCGTTTTCTGGGCAATTAAGAAGTCTAGGAGGAAATACTCCACGTACTGCCTAGTGGTTTTTTGGGTATTAATATCTATTTAGGCATGCGGCGCGGAGTTTTGTTATTAAGGATGCCGAATGCCGAATGCCGAGTGCGGAGTACCGAGTGGCGGTATGCAAATGGAGGAACCCCGAGTGATTGAGTGTTTGTATCTGAAACTACTTCGCCATCATTTTCCGCATTCACTCTCGGCCACATGTACCGAGTACATGCCCCATGCTCTGGCTCTTAGAGTGTAGTAACTGCCGCGGGCCCTTTCGTTCATATTCGTTAAGTCTTCAGATGCAGGCAGATTCAAATTTCGGGAGAAGCCGACGGACAGACCGACCGACCGTCCGTTGGCAGCCAAACGCTGTAGCTGTAGCTGTGTGGCAGTGGCTGTGGCGGTGGCGGCCTCCGTCTCCGTCTCCGTCTCCTGCTGCTGCTGCTCCTGCTCCTGCTCCGATACACGAATCATCAGCGACATGGCCTGGGCCATGGCTCATAGCCAGGCAGGCAGCCAGCAGTGGAAAAAGGCTCCTGCAATGTTGCACGACGCCAATAGCCGCGGGGAAGATGAGCGAGCGAGCGTCGTCGTAGCTTTAGTCCCTTCCACGGGCCGCGGCAGTTCTCTGAGGCAGAGGCAGAGGCAGAGGTTTTTTGTCGTCGGTGTGTGGCTGTTGCTCTGATGTTGCTCTGCTCTGCTCCGCTCTGCCCTGCCCTGCCCTGTCCTGTACGAGTGTGTGTGTATTTTCAGATGCAGTTGCAGCAGGCGGATGTTTGCAGCTTATTTCCTACGGCTGTGCTCATGTGCACCTTTAATCCGCTCTGTATTCTGTGTTGTTTTTTTCTTCTGCTTTTTTTTCGCAATTCAGCGAGCAGCCCAATAGAGAACAGCCACCGAGCCACAGACGACGAGCGGTCCATTTAAATTCGAGGTCAAAAGGAAATATATTTGCAGCTGTGTTTACCCACAGTAGATTGGGATTGCGATTACGTATATACATTTATATGTATGCATTACATATAGATATGAGCGAGTGTGTACCCAAATGTAATCATTTATATTCGTACTTATTTATCTGCAATAAGTTTATTTCCATTTATGGAACAATTAACCCTTCTGATTGCAGCGAAAATTCAACTTTGGGAAATGATAAGTTGAAATTTTATGAGGAGAAAATATCCAAAAGTTTTAGCACATCTCAAGTCTGAGCCAGAAGCTTTTAGCTCCATCATTATTATACACATAAAT